GGCCGCCGACTAGGGGCGTCCCGGCCGGCCTCGCCAGCGCGCGCCGCGGCCTCGGGTCCGCTAGGTTTTGTAAACGAAAGCAAGAAGTGAAAATAAACCTCGCACTGTATGAATGAAAGAACGCGCATTTGGGGGCGGGGGGTGTCTCTCGGGACCTAAGCGCATCCCAGGCGCAGGAGGGAGGCATCAGCTTGGCTGAGTGCATCCGTGAAGTCACTTGGAGCCTCCAAGCCCGTCCCTCCCTAGGCAGCGGATCTAGTGTTGCCTCCTGAACACCTCCCTACCACTGCCCCTGCCCCTGGGGGGCGTGGAATTGCATCGCCATCCTTGATTTCATTTGTTTATAAGCCAGATGTTGAACAAACACTGCTTTTAAAGGCTTATTATTTGGGACCTTAGAGATGGCTCTGTGGGTAAACCTGGGACCCTAGGTAAAGGTGGAGAACCCAACTCCACAGAGTTCTCCTCTGACTGCCTCATGCACGATAGTAATACTAGGTAAGAATCATTTATTCTTTCACAATTTCATGTCTACACACACACACACACACACACACACACACACACACACACACACACACACACGCCACGCGCGCGCGCGCGCTTGTATGTTCACCTCATACGTCGATCATATCCCTACCCTTTATCCTCTCGTTCTCCCGCCCACTCTCCGGAATCCTTTTCCTCACGTCCCGCTCACTTTCCTCTTTACAGGTTCTTACCAGCATGCAAGCCAATATTAGAAGCAAGGCTTGGGGGAGGGGGTGCTTAGGAGAGTGAGAATTGCTGTTAGAGATAAAAGCTAGGGAGCAGCCAACAGATTTCCCCGGGGCGGGATGGGGTGTGGGGTGACCTTTGGCTCCTCCTCCTCAATAAAAACTTTGTAATGACACTCTGGCCTAGCACACCTGTTAGGATGAAAGTGAAATGTCACCAGTGAGTGCCAGGAGCACTCTCAGGGACTCGGAGGTTAATGAGCTACTGGAATGGTCTTTCCTTGGCTGCTTTCATTCTCCATCCTCATCCTCACTCTTCATCATCCTCACTGCTCCACAGACAGGAGCCGACCCATCTAGCAAGCTGAAGACGATGTGCCCTGGTGTTTCCATCTCCGTAGAGGCTTTGGGGTTTGGCCCGCCCAACAAGACCTAGAGAATCTGGGGAGTCTGGGGAGAAAAGCCCGGCAATGATCACGATGTAATTCCACAGCATCCAGGGGCAGGGGCAGGGGCAGGGGCAGGGGCAGGGGCAGTCAGGGAGTGTCAAGAAGACACAATTACAACCCATGTAAAGAAGTTCATCGTCTCTGAGGTTCTAGAACCAGGCACCACTGTGTTGTATGAAAGAGCGGTGTTCTGAGCTGAGCAGAGGTTGGCTTTCAGGTGGAAAAGGGCGGGAGCGCACAGAACATACAGACTGTCCATGTCAAATCTACTTTCCTGTACTGTGTGGTAGGGGAAGAAAACTGGGTAACACGGTTGTTTTCTGTTGTAAGGGCTGAAACAGGGAAGAGGTCACAGCCATGAGCCAAACAACGGAGGGATCCTCACGCTGAGTGAAACTGGCCTGTTGGGGACCTTTGGTTAGCTCGCCAGGGAGGCATCAGCAGGCTTGCAGGCCATGGAGGATGGACCCCTCCTTCGCCATCAGCTTTGGACCCCACCCCCGTTTCCCTAGCTACACCAGTTTTAGGAAAGGGACGCATCACAGTTGTCCTTCCTTAGAATTTAAAATACCCCAAGACAAAGGTTGGGGGCAGCAGGGTTTTGTTTAGGCCCCTTGAAGAAGAGCTGCTTTCTTTTGATTAAAAGGTTGGAATCTGGAGCCAGGCATAGGCACACGCCTTTAATCCCAGCAGTCAGGAGACAGAGACAGGTGGATCTCTGAGTCCCAGGACAGCCAGGGCTGCACAGAGAAACCCTTATCTCAGAACACCAAAGGGGGGGGGGGGGAGATTGGACTCTGAGTTCTACCTGTGGGCAGAAGTGGAGCCATGGATTTTATTATGCCTTAAAGATTAGAGCATTGCCCTTCCCTTCTTAAACATTATTCCAACAAGGCCCGCCAATTACTCGGCCTTGGCCATCACCTCTCAGTAAAGCGGACTCATCTGAAGACATGATTAGGAGGTGGGGAGGAGGATCAGCCGCACGCCCAGCGATTTGGCTGTTACATGACGTCCAGCCTCTCTGTAACTTTAACAATTCCTTTGATGCCATTGAGCGTAGTCAGGGCGGTTCCGTTTCCATCTGCTGGCCCTATGCAGGGGCTGAGTCTCAAGGACCTTCTGTGATTTTTCTTGGACAGGAGTGGTGATGGAGTCCTGGGCAAGAACCTGGGAGACTGAGAAGAGCAGGAAAAGGACGACACGGGTCAGAACGCTTGGACCAGGAACAAAGGCTCGCAGCGCCGTTTTTCTGCAGTTCTGGGTTTTAGACTTGAACAGTGTTGTGCACTTGGCATTTTTTTGTGAGTTTCTTTCTCCTGTCATCGCCCAGCTAGCTTATAGAGTCCGTAAATCTGTGACAGGAGAGACTTTTTTTTTTTTTTAAACCAGAAAAGCTGTGAAACTTAATTCTGAGAAGGAAACCAGTTTTCTTGGATCTCGTGCTGAACTGATTGGGCCTCAAATCCAATGACGCCTGAATTTAAAGGCTGTTCTGTAGGCCCTGTAAAATCCTCTGCATGGAGAGACTGGACAGACCACAGGAATACCAAACTGCTGAACCCTCACACACCATAATGGAAGTGCTGCTGGATAACCAGCAAGAAGTGCCAACTACTTAATGTTTCCTGGACTTACTTCTTTTATAAAGAGCCAAAGGAAACCACAGTTCATTTCCTAACCTTTAATTTGAATGTAGCTGCGCCTTTGTGTTTTGACCCTTCTGTGGACTCAACCGTGTTTGCCCCTGCTTAGACTGAAGCCAGCCAAGACTTAGGGTTGGTCTGTATGGCACATGCGCTCTCTCCCTCTCTCCTTCCTAGCTCCGCCCGTTTGTTAGCTCTTTGTCTAAAAGCACACAGCTCGGCGCGGTGCTTGGCTTATATTCGGATGGTGGTTGTAGTGATCGAATGAACATCTTCAGCCTTCTCTTTTGACGCAGGCGCCACCCCCAGCCTAGCAGGTTTGGCGTTGCTGCGGCTCCTCCTGGCTACCCTACCTCCCTCTCAGAAGGGGCAGCTTTTATTAAGTTTGCTTGTTAACGGTCAGGTGTCACCTGCTGGACCCCTAGCTCAGGCGCACTGCTCACGCTGGGTGCTCTCAGTTAAAATTTGGGAATGAGGACCTGGTAGTGTGTTCTTTCTCTCTTGACTAGCTCAAGGCTAGGAATTTTCCATATTTTATAATGGCAACTTTTAACTGTGACCTTCTGGGCATAAAATAGTACCATACAAGTCTCATTTTCCTAATGCCATCTTCTCCCTAGTGGAAAACCAGGGACATTTTTAATGCAACACCTCATTGTTCAGGCATTATTCTGTTGACTTAAATATTCCAGAAACACATCTCATGGCCCGAGGAAGTAAACCAGCTTAGGGTGTGTGTGTGTGTGTGTGTGTGTGTGTGTGTGTGTGTGTGTGTGTGTGTGTGCTGGCAAAGCTTTATTTATTGTTTATTATTGGTACTGGGAATGGAACCCAAGACCTATTCATTCTAGGCAAGTGCTCTACCACAGAGCTATTTCCACAGCCCTTTTAATTTTGTCCCAGGCTGTCTTTGTTAGGCTTTCTATTATGATGATAACACACCATGACCAAAAGCAACTTGGGGAGGAAAGGGTTTATTTCAGTTTACAGTTCCATATCACAGCCTATCATTGCGGGAAGTCAGGACAGGAACTCAGGCAGGGCAGGAACTTGGAGGCAGAAACTGATGCAGAGGCTATGGAAGAGTGCTGCTTACTGACTTGCTCCTCATGGCTTGCTCAGCCTGCTTTCCTATAGCATCCAGGACCACCTGCCCAGGGATAGCATTGCCATAGCGAGCTGGTCCCTCCCGCATCAATCATGAAAATGTACCAGAGGACTGTCCACAGTGGGTCAGTCAGGTGGGGACATTTCCTCATTGAGGTTTCCTCTTTTAAAAATGACTCTAACTTGTGCCAAGTTGACATAAAACTCACCATTGCATGGGTTCTCACCAGACTTCGGATCCTTATGCCCCGCTTCCCAAACAGAAACAATGAACTGACGGCCACGGTGCTGGCTAGCTTCATCGGTTAGAGACATTGTATAAGCGTCTGGTTCCCCCACGCTAACTGCTGCAGAAATGTTAGCTGTAAGAAAGGAGCCAGAAGGTCCCTGAGGTAGGGCTGGCTCCTCCCTGTGTGTCTCCTGAGCATCTATCTCTGTACCCTGCCTCCAGGTCTCACTGCAGATAGCTTCCCCTGTCCTGGCCTGAAGGGCATGGTCTGAGGCACTTACAACACTGTGAAAGTGTTTGACAAAGTTAGATGTCTCTTCTAACACTCAAGGCAATCTCTTAGCTGTGAGTTCCTGAAAATTAAAAAGAACAGAAAGAGAAAGAAAAAGAGAGAGAGGAGAGAGAGAGAGAGAGAGAAGAAAGAAAGAAAGAAAGAAAGAAAGAAAGAAAGAAAGAAAGAAAGAAAGAAAGAAAGAAAGAAAGCAAAATGATATATTTCTAACATGCAGTGGCAGAGGGAATATTCCCATTCAGAAAGGGATTGAAGACATGAAAAGCTTAGGCCAAAGCCTGCACCTTGGTCCTGGGTCTGGGGGGTGGCATCAGCTGGGCTCCAGCAGCCGGGGGCAGCCTGCTGATCCAGTTTTGACACCTCTGGCATAGGCAGTCTCTCTCTAGGATCAGCTCCACTCCACGTTCACAGCTCTCCTTACCCTTCAGGAATGAGGTCTATTAGGAGAAAAGGTCTTAAGGCCAGGATCAGGCCTTGAGCGGGCACAGTAGAAAGGAACAAGAAGCTGGGAGGTGGTGGCGCACGCCTTTAATCCCAGTGCTCAGGAGGCAGAGGCAGGCGGATCTCTGTGAGTTCGAGGCCAGCCTGGTCTACAGAGTGAGTTCCAGGACAGTCAGGGCTACACAGAGAAACCCTGCAGGAATATATCAAAACCAGCATAGAAGGAAGGAAAGGCGTTCCTTTAAGACACGGACAGACACTTCACAGATGGTGAGACTAAGAGCCAGGGAGAGGTCGGAGGAGCCTCGGGGATCAATCCTCTGAACAAAGGAAATAACGGGCTTTCATACGTTTCGGGGTGTTGGCAGGAAGTTTTATGCCATGTGATTTAGTCTGGGGTAGGATACCTGACAAACAGCATGGAGGTGCCAGGTATAAATTCCAACTTGCAGAACAGCTTTTGAAAAAAGATTTGCACACACCTTTGATCCCGAGGAAAAGGCAGGCGGATCTCTCTGAGCTTGAGGCCAGCCGGATCTACAGATTGAGTTCCAGGACAGCCGGAGCTACACTTGAAAAACTAAAAAAACTAAAAAAAAAAGTCATTTTGTGTGTATATGTGTGTGCGTGCATGCACATGAAAGCAGGTGTCTGCCAAGTTCAGAAGAGGGTGTTGTATTCCCTGGAGCTGGAGTTACAGGCAGATGAGAACTCTCCAATGTGGGTGTTAGGAGCCAACCTCAAGTCCTATGCAAGAGCAGTACACAATCTTTTTGTTTATTTGTTTTTTCGAGACAAAGTTTCTCTGTGTAGTCCTGGCTGTCCTGGAACTCACTCTGTAGACCAGGCTGGCCTCACATTCACAGAGATCCTCCTGCCCCTGCCTCCCAAGTGCTGGGATTAAAGGTGTGCACCACCACCGCCCAGCACAGTGAACACTCTTAACAGCTCCCAGAACACCTTAACTCTCCGTCCCAGGGTGAGAGCTGAAGGGGGGTTGTGTGTGGCCTGATTTCTTCAGGCTGGGAGATCTCACCTCTTAAGAGTACCTGGCCTCTTAAAGAGGCAGACCCAGGTTCTAACATATCAGTGTAATGGATCTGTGTTGTACATTGTGGAGGAAACAAGAGATTCGGTTCTCTTTGAACTGAGTTGTGAAACAGGCCTGAAAATTGACATTCCCTTAAGGGGGGACAGTGAAGGCGTACTGCTGGACTAGCCAGCTGGGAGCAAATTGCTTCTGGTGGGCGTTATAGACGATTATGGAGAAGAAGAAATCATTTGCAGTATCAGCTGACAGTACTAAAGGCTAGGAGATGTGGCAGTTTACAGGGCCACATCTGGGGCAGCAGCTGCATCGGAATTGCCACTTGATTAAACTTAGGATAATTGACAGTCTTTCTCCCGATCCATCCATTTTCTGCACAGGCCAAACAGGAGACAGAGTGAAGCAGAGATCTGGAGGCCACTACAGACCTGCATCCCCCAAGTCTCTTCCTGGCACTGGTTTCTTCAGGCCCTGCAGGGGTTCCACACTGATTTCAGGTCACTGTTTTCCAGGGCAGAGGCAGCTTTAATGGATTCCTTTTGGCCTTTTCAATAATAACAGTCCCCACTCCCTCCACAGACAGCGGGACCGGTATGGGGATTCTGCCAGCTCTTAAGTATATTTGCCCCAATTGTGCATTTCAGGACTGAGGAAGCCACTGCCTCAGGATGAGCTCAGGGCCCCACGGTGTGAGGGAGGGTGGCCCCTCAAGAATAGCACACATTCAGACACCAAATTCTCAGAATAAAGGAGGTTTATTATCCCAGAGGGGCAAGCAGGGTGAGGTGGGGTGGGGTGGGGGAGTCCACAAAGGAAGACAGCAGCAGCAGCAGCAAGCAAGCAGGAGTGGTTTTTTTTTTTTTTTTTTTTAAGGAGAAAAAGGGAGAGTTTGTGGTAGGGTGAGTCGGTAAGTCCTGACTGGACATGTTAGCTAAATAATGAGTTTTGATTGTTGGGCCTTGGTGTTTTGTCTCAGGAATGAGTCCGTGGCCAAATAAGGGAGTGGACCGTGGGGGCTAGCTTTAGGAATGCAATCTAATGGTTTTTGGCGAGGAGAAGGGTAAAAACAAAACCCACCAGGGCCATGTTTGCCATGCTTGGGCCTGCGAGAGCCCTTCATTTTTTAAGTTTATAAAAAGAGATAAATGTTTTAGATGCAGTAGCATTACCAGTTTGTTATCTGTATTGAAATCTATATTGTAGAAAGGGCAGCAGGTTTATGTTTTTGAGCCATAGTAAATGTTTGGGAGTCCAAACAGTAGCATAGAGGGAAAGAAAGGGATCTGCAACAACTCGCTAGCCCCAGATGTTCCCTCAGAATCTGCATCCTAGACGGCTCCAAGGCAACTGACAGTCCATCCTCACAAACCGCTCCAACGCTGCCGGTGCGTCCTCTGCTTCAGATGGTCCTGTGAAATATGGACATGGACTGACACAGACTGCTCTTCCTGACCGGGACCACAATCCAGCTCCCTTGAGTCCCTAACAACAATGCCCCAATGTCAGCAGGAAGAAGCCAGAGGATGATGCCCACTTACCCAACACCCGGCGACCCAATGATAAAACACACAGGTGGGGATGAAGAGCCCCAGCATGGTAAACATGGCCCCGGTGGGTTTTGTTTGTACCCGTTTCTCCCTTGCTAAAACCGTTAGACTGCATTCCTAAAGCTAGCCCCCAAGGTCTGCTCCCTTCTTTGGCCACGGACTCATTCCTGAGACAAAACACCAAGGCCCAACAATCCAAATTCATTATTTGGTCAGCATGTCTGCACTTGGTGGTTCTGTGTGTCAACTTGACACAAGCTAGAGTCATCAGAGGAAGGAGCCTCCCCTGAGGAAATGCCTCCTTGAGATCCAGCTGTAAGGCATTTTCTCATTTAGTGATCAGTGGGGGAGGGCCCAG